CTTCCGCCTCAGCCTTCCGAGTAGCCGGAACTACAGGCGCGCGCTACCATGCCCGGCTAAGTTTTGACTTATTGTAGAGATGAGGTCTTGCCAAGTTGCCCAGGTGGGTCTCGAACCCGCGGGCTCAGGCAATCCACTCACCTCAGCCTCCCAAAGCGCGGGATTATAGCCACCGAGCCCGGCTTTTTGTTTTGTTTTTAATCAGGGTCTCACTCTGTCACCCAGGCTGGAGTACAGTGGCAAGATTTTGACTCACTGCAGACTCAATCTCCTGGACTCAGGTGATCCTCCCACCTCAGCCTCCCAAGTAGCTGGGACTACAGGCATGCGCCACCACGCCTGGTTAGTTTTTTTTTTTTGGTAGAGATGAGGTCTCACTATGTTGTCCAGTCTGGTCTCTAACTTCTGAACTCAAGCAGTCCTCCCATTTTGGCCTCCCAAAGTGCTAGGATTATAGGTGTGAGCCACTGTGCCTGGCCTGAAGACTTTTAAGTAAGCTTTAAATGATCATTTGGCAACATCAGTCCCCTTTATGTACCTTTCAAACTTGCAGTGGTCAAAAATTTCTTTCCTTTCTTCTGATTTGATAGATTATGTGTTGTGCAGGTCTCTGTGCTAGGTACCATACTACCTCCTTCCATTTGTAATGGAAATTTTAGCTTTTTTTTTTTTTTTTTTGAGTTGGAGTCTCACTCTGTCACCCAGACTGGAGTGCAGTGGCCACTCCCGGCCACCGCAGCCTCGACCTGCTGGGCTCCGGCGATCCTTCCGCTTCAGTCTTCCAAGTAACTGGAACTACAGGTGCGCGCTACTATGCCCGGCTAATTTTTTGATTTATTGTAGAGATGAAGTCTCACCAAGTGGCCCTGGCAGGTCTCGAACCCACAGGCTCAGGCAATCCACTCACCTCAGCCTCCCAAAGAGTGGGATTACAGGCTGAGCCACCAAACCCGGCTGAAATTTTAGCTCTTATACAAAGATATTCTTATTTTGCAAACAGTCCTGGAGGGAGACAAGTGTTCATTTTCACATTCTACAAATGAGGAAATGGGGGTGTTCAGAGAATTGGACCAGGCATCTTGGCATGGTCACATGACTAGTAAATATATCATGAGGTGTAGCCTAGGGCCATTTCCCTATAAACTTCTTGCTGTATGGCAGAGGGGATCTAGAGTCATCATGGGGCACAACTCTGCAGGGTGCCATCCATACCGTATTCTAAAGAAATGGAATCCTTTGGGGCTGAACCATGTGTGTTAACACGTAGTTACACATCCTTTGTGCCACAACATTTAAGTGTATGCCTGCCGATTTTCAATGGCCAGTGTCTACATCTATTAATATATGTATATTACTTTTTTTTTTTTGAGACGAGGGCTCGTTGTTAAATCTGGCTGTTCTGGAACTCCTGGGATCAAGCAATCCACCTGCCTTGTCCTCCCAAAGTGCTGGGATTGCAGGCGTGGGCCACTCATATGTATGTATATATGAGAAGGTGCCTTTTTCTTTTTCTTTTTTTTTGAGTTGGAGTCTCACTCTGTCGCCCAGACTGGAGTGCAGTGGCGGCTCCCGGCCACCGCAGCCTCGACCTGCTGGGCTCCGGCAATCCTTCTACCTCGGCCTTCCGAGTAGCCAGAATTACAGGCGTGCGCTACTATGCCCGGCTGATCTTTTGATTATTGTAGAGATGAGGTCTCACTGCCCAGGTGGGTCTCGAACCTGCGGGCTCAGGCGATCCACTCACCTCAGACTCCCAAAGGTACGGGATTACAGGCTGAGCCACCGAGCCAAGCTGAGAAGGTGCCTTTTTCAAAGCCAGCAAAGGCTGCTCTGTCTACCAGAAGTGCTGGGAATTACTACCATTTTCCCAGAGTGGCCTTCCCACCAGAGTTCCAGACTCTCAGGTGGAATAAACTTGAGTTGTTTATTCTGCATGGCTTCTCAGAGTCTCACCACAGGAGTGACGTGTTGGCAACCCACACGGCCAGCCAGCCTGATCACACACCCTTCATGACACCTTATCTTCCCTGTCTTCCCTGCTCCACTGTTTCTCCTGCTGGGTATCCCCAAAGAGACCACTTGCCCTGGAATCCTAGTCTCAAGGTCTTCTCAGAGAAATTAAAAAAAAAAAAAAAGACTATGTAGGACAGCCTTGTGTTTAAAGGCCAACTGGTCACCTGCAATGTGCATTGAGTGTAATAAACAGAAATGTGTCAAAGATGTTAAGAGGTGTTTTTTTTTCAGTCTAAGCCCTTATTGTCAGTCTCGTGATTAAAGTAAGTCATCCAGCTGGGCACAGTGGCACATGCCTGCAATCCCAGCACTTTGGGAGATGGCGGCGAGAGGATTGTCTGAGTCCATGTGTTTGAGACCACCCCTGGGCAACATGGCAAGACCTCGTCTCTATGATAAATAAAAAAAAATCAGCTGGGCATGGTGGCGCATGCCTGTAGTTCCAGCTACTTGGAAGGCTGAGGCAGAAGGCTCACCTGAGCCCAGCAGGTCAAGGCTGCGGTGGCCGTGAGCATGCCACTGCACTCCAGCCTGGGCGACAGAGTGAGACTCTGACTCAAAACAAATAAACAAACAAACAAAAATAAAGCAAGTCATCCAGCTGTTTCTACTCGGGATACAGTCATGTTTGCATCTACTGTTAAATCAAGTCTTTATTAAGAAGTAAAGTGCTCGATATTACAAATTAATACAATTCTTGATTGTCGAGAAAGACTTGTAATATCTTTTTAATAATTCCAATACAGAGGAAAAGATGATAGGGCAGGGCTGGGGAGGAAATTCTCCATGATTAAAGAAAGAAATACATGTCATTTATGGATAGAAAGAAAGAGTTCTGCAAGGTTTTATAAGTGAAAGGAAAACAGTATAGTAATAAGTGTCATCAAAAGACTTTCTAGTGACCACAACTGATGTATGGCACAGAGTCGATACACATGGATACCACATAATGGCTGCACTTCAACTTGAAGTTTGTTCACATGTAACAATATGGTAGACATACATAAATATGTACACTCAATATCTCTGGAATGCAAACTTTAGCCGCAGTGACAAACAGCTTTGTGTAATATATTCAAAAGAAAGTAGAGACAGAGAAGAAGCCCTGGGGAGTAACTGTTAAAGAAACACATTATGTGTCACTTTCATGAAGCCACCATAGAAAGGCCTGTTTGCTCATGTTCTCATTGGAGATTGGACCGACATATTCTACCAATGAAATGAACAGTTTAGACTGGGTGCAGTGGCTCATAACTATAATAATCCCAGTGCTAAAGTAGGCTGAGGTGAGAGGTTTGATTGAGCCTGGAGGTTTGCTTGAGCCTGGGAGTTTGAGACCAGCCTGGGCAACATAGTGAGACCCTGACTCTACAAAAACTAAAACTAAAAAAAAATTAACTAGGCATGGTAGTCTGCACCTGTAATCCCAGCTATGAATGCACCACTGCACACCTGGGTGACACTGGGTGACAGAGCAAGACCCTGTCTCTAAAAAAAAAAAAAAAAAAAAAAAGAACAACCCATTAATTTAAAATATAGTATTAAAAACCAAGACTCTCTTCTATTGGTTCTCTAGGTGAGGTTATTCACCAGCACTGTATTCTCTCTTGCTTATTAGCTCTCAGAGGGTAACCTTAATTCTTCTGAGATAAGATTTTTATTTTTTTTTGAGATGTAGAATCTTCCCTATAAATGTGGTGAGACCCTCTCTTAAGGGAAACAACTGCTGCAGCATCATATCTTCTGATAGTGGATGAACTTTCAATACCAAATCTTTTTTTTTTTTTTTTTTTGAGTTGGAGTCTCACTCTGTTGCCCAGACTAGAGTGCAGTGGCACACTCAAGGCCACCGCAGCCTCGATTTGCTGGGCTCAGGCGATCCTTCCGCCTCAATCTTCCTGGTGGCTAGAACTACAGGCGTGTGCCACCACGTCCAGCTAATTTTTTAAATTTATTGTAGAGGTGAGGTCTCACCAAGTTGCCCAGGCTGGTCTTGAACCCTTGGACTCAGGCAATCCTCTCGCCTTGGTCTCCCAAAGTGCTGGGATTCCAGGCTTAAGCCACCGCACCCAGCCCCCAAACCTCCTTTTTATTAAGTTGAGCTCCATTTGCACAATCAACTCTAGTTTTAAAATGCAGGATCAAGATCACTTGAGTATTGTATTTTTAAAACAACATAAAACCAAAACTTTGGTTTTATATTGCTTTATGAAGCTCAAAATTTTCTTTAAAACTTTTGCTTAAAATAAACATTTATATACTAAAAATTTAGCAAGTTACTCGGTTAGTTAACACATTAAATTCAGCTGCAAATGAGGGGAACTACATGAGAAAGCAAATACATGGATAAATCTTTATGCTACATGAATTGTTAGAAAAAGTCAAACTCAGTGACAGCTTGGAGTCCCTTGTAATTCTAAGTCATGGTTAGAGATGCCATTTTATCTTTGCTGGTTTCACTCAACTCATTTCAAATTAGAGCCAAAATAATGTACAGAATTTAAGAGATACAGTTTGCCCCATAGACATCAGACAAGATAAAATAATAAAAAAGCAGAGTCCTTAACAATGCCCTTAACCATTCACACAAGTTCTCGCATAATGACAACACACCCATTCTAGGATTTGGAGTTCTTTTCCCTTCTATCTTTTAGAAAAGTTGACCCCAGCAAGGTAGTTGAAATAAAAGGCTTTTTCCTTAAAAGAAAGCTGTGTATTCGGCTCACGAACTACGCCAAAGTGGAAAGGAATGCCCTGCCTTCCCACACTGGGCAAAAAGGACAATGCTGATTTTTGTGACTGGAAACGAAACTCAGAAGCCCTTGAACAGTTCTCTCTTAGCTTTGAAAGGCTACTTCATTGTCAACTGAGAAGGCTCGGTCAAGGAACTGGGCGTACCACTCAACAGACTTCACAAACATTTTTTTCCCCTGTACTCAATATTTACACCTAGATTTCTTATATGAGAAAAAGAAAACAAAATCTTGTTTGATCCATGGGTACAGTTTATATAAAATAAATTAAAGTGCAGACAACTAGCAATCGGTCACCTAGACCCGCATCCTACGGTGGTCAGGACATATAAATAGTATTCTTGTTTGGCAGTTCGGGACAGCCATCTCCTGTGAGGGACACACACACCAATACACGCATGTCATACATGGACGCTGGAACTCCCATTTGCACCTCCACCTTCTATGCCTTCTGTAGACTGGGAGGAAGACGGGCGGGAGCTTCTGGGGCGAGGTTGGCCCGTGAGGCCCACCGGCGTGCCTAGCCCGTGACTGATCTGGGAAGCTGCGTCATCAGACTCCCAGCGTTCTAACTCCTCCCGCACCAGCCGTTCCATCTGTTCCCTGTGGATTTCACTGTCCCGACCCAGTCTTTCATCCTAAAAGAGAAAAAGAAGCCAAGAGGTTGGAAGGCAGGGGTGGAGCAATGGAGACTCTTCTACTTAGAAATTGTCTTAGGAAATCAGGGGCCAAATCGTCTGTTGGTAGTTAGGTAAGGCTGGAGACTTACAGCATATAATAGTGATTCTCACAGTCACGGGAGTAATTTTTCACTTAATTTTACTTTTCAGAGAAGGCAGGACCATTAGTGTGTGAAGTATAAAGGAAGTAACTAGGCATGGTGGCTCACGCCTGTCATCCCAGCACTATGGGAGGCTGAGGCAGGAGGATTGCTTGAGCCCAGGAGTTCAAAATCAGCCTGGACAACAAAGTGAGACCTCGACTACAAAAAAAGGAAAATTAGCTAGGCATGGTGGTGCACAACTGTAGTCCCAGCTACTCAAGAGGCTGAGGCAGGAGGTTTGCTTGAACCCAGAAAGTCAAAGCTGCAGTGAGCTGTGATTGTGCCATTGCACTCCAGCCTGGGTGACAAAGACCTTTTCTCAAAAATAAAAATAAAAATAAATAAATAAATAAAATAAAATAACACTTCCAGATTATCATTTCACCTGCAGTGATGGAGAAAGACCAACATCTCAGAGGAAGGACTACAAAATAGGGCTACCTTGACATTTTATAGAATCAGAGTGTTTCTCTTTCAGAGAAAAAAAGTCTGAAAATGAGAGTAAATTGAAATAAACTCCGCAAATTTCTATAAATGTAATTTTTTCACTCTTCCTCAATATTTCAAACAACCGTGTCACCGTTGTATAATTTTATCAGTGAGCACCTTGTCTAGCAGTCATGTTTTCATCTGATGTTTTTATTTTTTATATATTTTTATTTTTTACATAGTCTTTGTGGAAATGAGGACTTCCTATATTGCCCAGGCTGGTCTCGAGCTCCTGGGCTGAAGTGATCCCCGTAGCCCCGGCCTCCCAAGGTGCTGGGATGACAGGCATCCCCAGCCATGTCTCCAAGCCCATGACCACTGACCTCAGCCACACCGTCCAGCAGCCTTCCCAGCACCTCCCTCCTCTTCAGCTTGGCCCGCTCCATGATCTCCAGTTTCACGATCACAGCGTCAATCTTGGACACGATGCTGCCGATGGAGTGCTCCATCCGGTCCACGCGTCTCACCAGGCTGCAGGGAGCCACAGTTGAGAGGGGCAAGGCCCTTGTCATTGTCTTTTCAGCACAACTGGCTTTTCAAATAGAAATGCTATGATTTATTTTTCTTTTCTTTTTTTTGAGTTGGAGACTCACTCTATTGTCCAGGCTGGAGTTCAGTGGCACACTCACGGTCACTGCAGCCTCCACCTGCTAGACTCAGGTGATCCTTCTGTCTCAGTCTTCCAAGTAGCTGGAACCACAGACAGGCGCTAACATGCCTGGCTAATTTTTTGATGTATTATAGAGACAAAGTGTCACCAAGTTGCCCAGACTAGTCTTAAACCCCTGGGCTCAGGCAATCCTCTTGCCTTGGCCTCCTATATTGCTGGGATTACAGACGTGAGCCACTGTGCCTGGCCTTCATTTTTCTCTATTTTTGAGTAGGGGTCTCACTCTGTCACTCAGGCTCGAGTGCAGTGGCACCATGATGGCTCACTGTAGCCTCAATCTCCTGGGCTCAGATGATCCTGTGTCTCAGCCTCCCAAGTAGTTGGGACTACATGCGCATACCACCAGGCATAGTTAATTTATTTTTATTATTTTTTGAGTCAGAGTCTCACTCTGTTGCCCAGGCTGGAGTGCAGTGCCATGCTCATGACCACCGCTGCATCGACCCACTGGCCTCAGGTGATCCTTCCACTTCGGCCTTCCAAGTAGCTGGAACTACAGGTGTGTGCTACCATGCCCAGTTAATTTTTTTTTTTTATATAATGAGACAAGTTCTCACCAAGTCACCCAGGCTGGTCTTGAACCCCTGGGCTCAAGCAATCTTCCCAAAGTGCTGGGATTATAGGCTTGAGCCATCACGCCCGGCCGCTAATTTATTTTTTAATTTTTGTAGAGATGAGGTGGCCTTGTTATGCTGCCTAGGCTGGTCTTGAACTCCTGGGCTCAAGCAATCTTCCCACCTCAGACTCCTGAGTAGCTGGGACTACAGGCACATGCCACCACTTCTGACTAACTTTTAAAATTTTTTGTAGAGACAAGGTCTCACTTTGTGGCCCAGGCTGGTCTTGAATTTCTGGGCTCAAGTGATCCTCCTACCTTGGCTCCCAAGGTGCCGGGATTACAGGCATGAGCCACCATGCCTAGACCTATTTTTAGAAAATTTCCTAAAGGAAATTTTATTAGTAAATGTATATTTTTTGGCTACAAGTATATTCACTAGAGTGCTGCTTATAAATAGTGGATCACTGAGACATGGCTACATTAAACAATCGACAGGAGATTATTTAATAAATTATTACTTCTCTGTATAATGAAATTCTAAGGAGATACCAGAAATTATATTATGAGGGGATATTTAATGAAACAGAACTATGCTCACAATATATTAAATAAAGCTTGAAAATAAAGCACTAAAACAGAATGTTCACTTACGATCCCATTATTTTGAATTTCAAAAAAATGTTATACAAATACTTAAACAACTTGTAAACTGGAGACAACCTCTGGAATGGTGGCATTCAGTAGACTCTAGTGAAACTATAATTGTTGAAGATTACTTTTTAAAAACTCAGACATTAAAGATCTCTAGAAAAAATTTAAGGGCATACAACAAAGGAAAAAGTATTTGCTCAAGAAAATGTACTAAAGTCTGTGCCTTTTTTTTTTTTTTTTTTTTGAGTCAGAGTCTCACTCTGTCACCCAGGCTGGAGTGCAGTGGCACACTCAGGGCCACCACAGCCTTGGCCCACCAGGCTCAGGCGATCCTTCCGCTTCAGCCTTCCAAGTAGCAAGAACCATAGGTGTGCACCACCATGCTCGGCTAATTTTTTGATTTATTGTAGAGATGTGGTCTTGCCAAGTTGCCCAGGCTGGTCTCAAACCCATGGGCTCAATCTTCTCACCTCAGCCTTCCAAAGTGTTGGTATTACAGGCATGCGTCACCACGGCTGGCATTTGAGCTGTAATTTGAGCCCTCGTTTCTGTCCCCAGCTCAGTCTGACAGAAGCGCCATTCCAGGTGGGTGCATCTAAGAATCAAAAATCAAGGGTTCCCTCATCCCCCAGGTCCGAGTTCAGGGCTATGGTAACTATCAAGGAGGAACAGGCTGCCAGTATCTCTCATCTCAATGCCCTCAAGGTTCCATGTCCCTCAATATGCCTCCCCAAATTCCATGTGGCAGAGGCTCTAATTCAGGCAAGAGCAGCTGGGAGGTATGAGACTCTTTTCTCCCATCAGCCCCTCCTCAGAGGGCAGAGTTTCCATGCAGAAGAGGCAAGGTGAGAGATAAGGGGCCACCATCCAAGTCCAGTGCCTTGTTCACCTACAGCAGAGGTGTCCCTCTGAGAAAGGTGGGTCATTTTCTCTTGTACCATATCTGGAGCAGTGGCACAGAGGTTTTGCTCATGTGGAGAGGCAGAGAACAATCCAGAGTTCTCCTCAAGTGAACTGACTTCATGTGGAGTCAAGTGTGGGGAAATTCAAGCCAAAGGATACTTTTGAAAACAATGGAGATTGTGGGGATAAGCAGTTAAAAGGAGACTGGTAGCTTCATGAAATCAAGTTATTAGCGAAGAAGAAAGACAGCTATGAAGACAGTTAAAATGGGTCTCAAAAACTACCCATGCAAAGAGGCCTGAATTTAATTGGATCAGACTGTGGAGGAGTTTATATCCCAAGGCATTTTTGAAAACAACAGACCAATCAGCTAACAATAAAACTTAATAGCTGAGCGGTTTCTTTAGCCCATGCCATATCTCCCTTTCTTTTCTCTCTTCTTTCTCTAAAAATTTTTTAAAACAAACAAAAGAAACTTAATGACTGAGTGCAATACCAACAGAGGCAGAAGGTTTAACAGAGAGATCAGGGAAAGACAATGAGAGCCCTGCTGAAATCACTATGTTCCCAGGGGAATGCCCTGGCTGGAGTGCAGTGGCATGATAAAGGCTCACTGCAGCCTCAAACTCCTGGCTCAGGTGACCCTTCTGCCTCAGCCTCCTGAGTAGCTGGAACTGCAGATGCATGGCATCATGTCCAGCTAATTTTTAAGTTTTCGTGTAGAGACTTAGTCTCACTATGCTACCTAGCCTGGTCTGAAACTCCTGGGTAAAGCAATCCTCTTGCCTTAGCCTACCAAAGTGCTGGGATTACAGGCATGAGCCACCATGTTTGCCCTACAAACATATTTAAAGAACTAAAAAAACAAAAAAAACCAAAAAAACCACAGCCAAAGAAAAACCAGACTATCATCAAATACAAAATAAAGAGACAAAGATTATTAAAATAAAAAACAGACTATCATCAAATACAAAATAAAGAGACAAAGATTATTAAAATAAAAAATTCTCTAGAGGAGCCCAACAGATATCTGAGCAAGCTGGCAGAAGTACAAATCAGTGAACTTGAAGGTAGATCAATAGAGGTTATGTAATTTGAAGAACAGAGAGAAAAAAAGAAGAAAAATAAACACAACCTATAAGAAATGTGATATACCATTAGGCGGCCCAATATATACATCACAGGAGTCCCAAAAGAGAGGAGACAAAGGAGCAGAAAAATATTGAAGAAATGATGTTTGATGAAAAAACGTAACACATCCAAGAATGTCAAAACTCCAAGTAGAATGAACTCACACTCAGACATATTAAAGTAAAAATACTGAAATACAAAACCAAAAAATCTTGAAAGCATCAAGAGAAAATTAAGTCATCATGTACAAGGGAGCCGTGATAAGATTAACAGCTGTTTTCTCATCAGAAACAATAGAGACTAGAGGAAATAAAGGAGAAAGATGGTATTTCCAGAGAAGCAAACACTGAGAGAATTCATTGCTAACAGACCTGCAATACAAGAAATACGAAAGGAACTTCTTTAAGCTAAAAGCAGGTGACCTCAGACAGTCATGTGAAAAAACAAAGAGCACTGATAAAGATAATTATGTAAGTAGAAAATACAGCATAAATATATATTTCTCCTTATTTTCCTTAGTTGATTTTAAAAGCAATTTTGTATAACATGTACATACCTGGATTTTGAGGCCTATAACATAGAGGAATGTAATATTTGACAATAAGAAGCAAAGGAGGTAGGTAGGAGCAAAGTGTATGGGAGTAATTAAATCATAGCACATGGCAACATCAGACCCAGAGCAACAAAAGAAGAGAATGAGAAGTGGTAAGTAAGAAAGTTAATACTACAAAACTCCATAAATATATACTTTCTCTTCTTTCTTCCCTCAGTTTAGTTGAGATATAAAATTATATATAATATAATTATATTATACAACATATTATAACAATGTAATATTACTATAAAATTCTAATGGTGGGTTTTTAACATATATAGATGAATATATATATGAATATATAACACAAAAAGGGGGAAGAGGAAATACAGCTATATAGAAATGACACTTCTATGTCTTATAAGATTAAGTTAATACAAATCTGAAGTAGTTTTTCATAAATTAATTTGCATACATTAAGTCCTACAGCAACCACTAAAAATATAACTTTATAAATACTGTGAAAAAAACCATTACAGGAATGGGGGGGGCACATAACAACACAAATAATATATTTTTTTTAATTGCATGAATTAAATGTTATACAAACCATGCCCAGCAAAAAAGATTTTAGAACCAAAAAATTTTTCTAGAGATAGAGTGTGATGGCATCTTATAATGAAAATGGTCGATCTATTGGGAAGATATACTAATTATAAACATGTATATACCCAACAACAGAATTTTAAAATACATAAAGCAAAACCTTGCAGAATTGAAAGGATAAACAATTTACTAATACATTCTGGGGACTTTACTATCCTGCTTTCTTTTTTACCTTTTATTTATTTTAATTAATAATTAATTTTAAAAAACTTTTGTAGAGACAGGGTCTCACATGTTGCCCAGGCTGGTCTCAAATTCTTGGCCTCAAGTGATCCTCTGGCCTTGGCTTCCTAAAGTGCTGGGATTATAGGCATGAGCCACCAGTCCTGGCCTAATATCCCCCTTTTTTTTTTTTTTTTTGAGTTGGAGTCTCACGCTTTTGCCCAGACTGGAGTGCAGTGGCCGCTCCCGGCCACCGCAGCCTCGACCTGCTAGGCTCTGGCGATCCTTCGCCTCAGCCTTCCAAGTAGCCGGAATTACAGGTATGTACTACCACGCCCGGCTGATTTTTTTATTTTATTGTAGAGATGAGGTCTTGCTGCCCAGGTGGGTCTCGAACCTGCAGGCTCAAGCAGTCCACTCACCTCAGCCTCCCAAAGGCGCAGGATTACAGGCTGAGCCACCGAGCCCGGCTTGACTTTTTTTTTTTAAATCGATATTTTTTATTATGATATTATGAGGTACAGTTAAGGGTTAGGTATACAAATATGCTTCATTCAGGCACCCTTGTTGATAAGGGGTGTCTCCCCGTCCCCAGACAGATATTTACTATTGTTAATCCCATCTCCCTTCCCCTCCCCCCTCAAATATACCCCACTTTTAAAAAGGAATAGAACATCTAAGCAGAGGAACAACAAGAAAACAGAAGATTTGAATAACACTATCAATGATTTAGACCTAAATGTCTACAGAACGTTCCACCCAACAATAACAGAATATACATTCTTTTTAAGTACTCATGGAAGCTGGGCTCGGTGGCTCAGCCTGTAATCCCATGCTTTGGGAGGCTAAGGTGAGTGGATTGCCTGAGCCCGTGGGTTCGAAATCTGCCTGGGCAACTTGGCGAGACCTCATCTCTACAGTAAATAAAAAAATCAGCCAGGCATGGTAGCGCGTGCCTGTAATTCCGGCTACTTGGAAGGCTGAGGCAATAGGATCGCTGGAACCCAGCAGGTCGAGGTTGCAGTCATTGCACTCCAGTCTGGGCGACAGAGTGAGACTCCAACTCAAAAAAAAAAAAATACTCATGGAATCTTCTCCAGGAGATACCAAAAGTTAGGCCATAAAAATATATAAAAACATTGAAAAGCACATACAAATGAAGACATAAACACTAAGATATTAATAGACAATTTTGGTTGGCAGGAATATGTGGGACTCTGTTTTCTTTTGCTTTCATTTATTTGTTAATTTTCCTATAATGAGTAAATTATATAAGAGGAAAAAACACAGAAGTTATAAAAAAGAACTAATGATTCATAATGAAAATGACTGAATTCAGAGATGAGGGAAATTGCTTGATCTCATGTGGACTCTCTCGTTCATGCATACTTACACTTGAAACTCTTCGTAGGAAACCCCACTGGAGATGCTTCCCCTCCTTCTGGAGCTGTGTCCACTGTCTTCATCATCATCCTCCTCAGAGTCATCTAGGCTTCGTGGGAAACTTCGGCTGCTCATGGGACGAGGTAAGGAACTGTGATCCAAGTCCAGGTCCTCCTGGGAAGGAACATGGGGTCGGGGTCGTTGAGGGAGGAGCAGGAACACCAAGACTCCACAGAAGCTTCGCCAAGGACTTGGGCAGACAGGAAATGGGTGTGTGTGGTTTACCCATGATTTCTTTGTGGTTAATACCAGACTGGAATTCGCACTTTTTTTCAAATTAATGGATTTGGCAAATTTTCAAAATAGATTTTAACAATATCAAGGAGTCATTAACTTTTTTGCTTGAATGAGAAAGAACATTAAAAACACAACAAAGCTAAAAAAAAGTAAATGAAACAGAAAGCCGGGCATAGTGGCTAATGCCTATAATCCTAGCACTTTGGGAGGCCAAGGTAAGAGGACTGCCTGAGCCCATGGGTTCGAGACCAGCCTGGCCAACTTGGCGAGACCTCATCGCTAAAATAACTTTAAAAATTAGCTGGGCATGGTGTTGTACACCTGTAGTTCCAGCTACTTGGAAGGCTGAGATGGTAAGATCACCTTAGCACAGCAGGTCGAGGCTGCGGTGGCTGTGGGTGTGCCACTGTACTCCAGTCTGGGTGACACAGTGAGACTCCAACTCAAAAAAAAAAAAGATACAGAATTACAGGTTAAATATCTCTTATTAACAATGACTGGGACCGGCAGTGTCTTCAAAATTTTTTTGTCCAATTTTGGAATATTTGCATTGTACTTACTAGTTCAACTTCCCTAATCCGAAAATCCAAAATCTGAGCTGTGCCAATGAGCATCTCCTCCGAGCATGACCTTGGAGTGTCCTGTCAGTGCTCAAAAAGTTTTAGATTCTATAGCATTACTGATTTCAGATTTCTGGATTAGGGATACTCAACCTGTTATCATCTAATTTTTCATAAAAGATAAAACATTCATTAGCTCCAAAGTAGGAGGGATATAATCTCAGAATAAGAATTTTGACTAAATACAGCTTTGTGAAAATTTTACGTACTATCTTTGAGTTTATTTTGCTTTGATGGTGAAGTTCGTTACCTGCTGGCACTGTTCTGTGTGGAGCAGCATTCAGAAACCACTGTTCTAGAATTCTCACAGGAAAGTGGCTTTTGCATATAATGTTCATCTGTATTCTCCGTACCTCAGTTGCCATGGATGTTTTTGTCACTGTTTAAACATTTACTTTTGAAAGTTAATGGTAACAGCTTTGAATTTTTTTTCTGATTATAAGTTTATTTTTAACTATTCTGGAACAAGTTTTCAAATGGAAGCAGCTGTTAATTTTATTTTACCGTACATGTTATTTATTTGTTTTTTGAGTCGGGGTGTCGCTCTGTGACCCAGGCTACAGTGCAGTGGCACGATCATGGTTCGCCACAGCCTTGACTTTCTGGGCTCAGGTGATCCTTCTGCCTCAGCATTCTGAGAAGCTAGGACTGCAAAGGCGTGCCACCACACCTGGCTAATTTTTTGTAGATGTAGAGACGAGGTCTGGCTATGTTGTTTAGGCTAGTCTCATCTCCTGGTCTCAAGCAATCCTTCTGCCTCAGCCTCCCAAAGTGCTGGGATTACAGGTGTGAACCACTGTGCCTGGCTATAAATGTTAATAAATAGCAACTCACTAACTTTAATAATTTTGTTTCTCCTGATAAATCTTTTCTTTTTCACTCTCATGGACATGGTGAATTTTGCAACTAATCAGGATTTTTTTTTCAAGTTCATTACTAGAAAGCTGAGGGTCAAATTTATAGCCCAATCTTAATGAATATATGTGGTTTTTTAATTTTTTTTGAGTTGGAGTCTCACTCTGTCACCCAGACTGTAGTGCAGTGGCCGCTCCTGGCCACCACAGCCTCGACCTGCCGGGCTCCGGAGATCCTTCCGCCTCAGCCTTCTGAGTAGCCGGAACTACAGGTGTGCGCTACCACGCCCGGCTGATTTTTTGATTTCTTGTAGAGATGAGGTCTCACTGCCCAGGTGGGTCTCAAACCCGCGGGCTCAGGCAATTCACTCACCTCAGCCTCCCAAAGGCACAGGATTACAGGCTGAGCCACCGAGTCCGGCTGAATATATGTGTTTTTATGGAATGTATTTTTTAGCTTCACTTATAATCCTATCATTTCCACTTTTGTTTCACTCTTAATTGACTTTTTTATATCATGCTAACTTAATCCATTTTTATATATCATTATGTTGCCTATTCTTTCTTATTTTTTATTTTATTTTATTATTATTACTGTTGTATAGAGACAGAGTCTCACTATGTTGCCCAGGCTGGTCTCGAACTCCTGGGCTCCAGTAATCCTCCCACCTCAGCCTTCCAAAGTGCTGGGATTACAGGCGTGAGCCACTGGGCCTACCCATGTTATATATTCTTTTTGGAATAAGGAAGATACTAACACATAAACTAACTGTGACAGACAGAGAGTGGGCAAGGGGGGGACTGTCAGTGGCCCACTACTTTGTGTCGTGTTTGACACATTGTGGGTCTTGAATCCGATCACGTTCTCCTAATTAGACCCACCCTCTCTTTTTCCAAGTCGTCTCTCATCTGCTGATGCTCATGTTCGGTCAGTTCTTGGTCTCCATCTTGGTCATACTTTGTGAATATTGCCTCAATCTCTGCATCAGTATGGCCCTTCCTGGAATCATTGAGAGGATACAGATCAAATCATTTTTGGACATGGCCCAACCCAAACACAGAGACGTCAAAACACAGGAAGAACAAGAAATCCCTGAACAGGGACATCTCTCCTCCTGGGACATGTTCCAGGAAGACATTTGCCTCTGGAAAAAAGTCTCTCAGAAAGACCCTAATCATTAAGAACTTATCTCGAGCAGCATGGACCTTCCAGGGCCTCAGGAAGTAAGATCCTTACCCTTTGAGATCTTGTCGAAGTTCATCAAAGTTTAACTTGCCACCACCTTGCCGTAGGCTCTCTGAAATGTCATCCACGGTATTTTTCTTCAGTTTTAGTTTGACCAAAGCTTTCTGATAGCCCTTTCAGGAAGAAAAAAAGGAGACAGACTTAGTTTAGTTTATTCTCCTGTTGCCCTTGCTTTCCCTTCCATTTATAGGAGTAGCTACCATAAACCCAGTGCCTGATGTCAGTTGGACACTCAACAAGCATGTGTTGAATGAATGACTGAGAATGTGCCCAGGTTTCCATTTAAGTCTTATGGAAGAGGTATATGAAAAAAAGTCAGGATCATTCAGTAAATCAGGAAGAACTAAGGACTTTTTACTCATATACATATTCAAGTTTAGGTGACAGAAGCACAGATCACTACATATTCCATAGCGGTCTGCCTCAGAAAATAGGAATGTGAAGAAGTTCCTAAGAGTACCAAGAAACCCGAGTCATCAACTGATTGTTTATTTTTTATACTATCGGACAGTCAGTCATTTCCTTGTAAAATACGTAAAACAAAAAACAAAACCTAGTGACATGTGGATGAGGATTTTCACTAACAAACTTTGGACAGACCTTGCTTGGATGGCAGCGTAGCACCGTAAGTGAGCCCATGAGTTAAAATTGTACAAAGTGATCATCAATGAGAAGAAGTACAATTGTTCTGTGACCAAAACTTTCTCATGGCTGGGTGTGCTGGCTCGCGCCTGTAATCCTAGCACTTTGGGAGACCGAGGCGGGATGATTGCTTGAGCCCAGGAGTTCGAGAACAGCCACATAGCAAAACCTCATCTCTACCACAAAAAGGAATCAAACAAATAAATAAATGAATGAGCCAGGTGTGGTAGTGCAGCCTGTAGTATAGCTACTTGAGAGGCTAAGGCAGAAAGATTCTTACCTGAGCCCAGGAGGTCAAGGCTGCAGTGAGTTGTAATTGTTCTACTGCACTCCAGCTTGGGCAACAGAATAAGACCCAATGAAAAACAAACAAACAAAAAAACCTCCAAAAACCTATTGCCAAAACATTAAAAACTCCATTATTGTCAGTTAGAAATTTAAGGAAAATTTAAAAAGTAAAACTAGTATTTATTTAGTACACTGAATCAATTACGAAGTGTCTCTAATTAAACAGTTCCTATAATGTGCAGTTTTTTGCTGGCATTACTTCCTATGAGACACCTTTATCCTTTTCACCATGGTCACATTCCTCATTTTTGGTAATAAATTTGCCTTCACTAAGTTCTTCTGAGGTCAGGCTCAGTGGTTCATGCCTGTAATCCCAGCACTTTGGGAGGCCGAGGTGGGAGGATTACTTGAGCCCAGGAATTCAGAACCAGCCTGGGCAACACAGCAAGACCTGATCTCTACAAAAACATAAAAATAAAAAAAGTAGCCAGGTGTGGTGGCACACACCTGTAGTCCCAGTTAGTTGGGAGGCTGAGGCAGAAGGATTGCCTGAGCCCAGGAAGTCGAAGGTTTAGTGAGCTGTGATTATGCCACTGCACTCCAGCCTGGGTGACAGAGTGAGACTTAAAACAAAATAAAAAACCCTGTCTGGATGTCTCAAATGATACAGTGTCAGCACTGCTGTGGTTAGGTATTTCTTCTAGAAATCCATAAGACAGTACTTGTTTTGTTTTTTGAGTTGGAGTCTCACTCTATTGCCCAGGCTAGAGTGCAGTGGCACACTCACGGCTACCCCCGTGTCGACCTGCCGGGCTCCGGCAATCCTTCTACCTCAGCCATCCAAGTAGCTGGAACTACAGGTGCATGCTACCACGCCCAGCTAGTTTTTGATTTTATTGTAGAGATGAGGTCTCACCAAGTTGTCCGAGCTAGTCTCGAATCTACAGGTTCAGGCATCCACTCGCCTCGGCCTCCCAAAGTGCTGGATTACAGGCTGAGCCACTGAGCCCGGCCAGTATTTGTTTTGAATTTCACTTCCAGTGTTACCACTTTTCATTTCTTTGCTATACTTTCATCCTTGCCAGCCCATTCTCTTTTTCAAGTAAACATTTTTGCAAAATCTCACATGGGTTTATTCCTGGGAGACAGAGAAGCAACACTGTATGCTTTGTCTGTGTGTGAATTCAACAGCAGATGTTCAGAGACCAATCAGCAGCAGACTGATAGTCGTGTCATGCTTGGCCACTGTGCGTGATGCATATCTGTCACTTAGGTCACTGATTTGCAGGTGACAGAGCTAACAGTGGAGTTTGTACTCTGTGCTGTTACTCACGGTTAATATACAGTGAAAAATGACATTGGAATCATGTGGGTGAGGGCCTGGTATTATTGAACAATGGTACTGAAATTCATGCACATCAGAATTGTGCAAAGTGACGCGTGCTTGTTTACACACTGGAGATCTGCTAAAATGTAAGCAACTGTGACACAGTGTTCAAGAGAACAGGAGTCTTAGGTCCCATCCAAGGGATTCTGTCTTAAGAGGCTAAAGTTTTTTATTACAATGTGAGTTGCAGATAACAGAGACCTAAGGCTTGGAGCAATCAAAATACATATCGGCTAAGGGGCCACTCCATCTTGGCAAAATGATGTTAGGAAGCAAGCTGTGTGCTTTCAAAGCAGTTATTTGTTGTTGTAAAAGTTTTATATTGTAAGCCAAATGAAGAAGTGACATTGAAAAGAACAAAGCTGCCCAACTTTTCTCTCCTGTCCTTCCAATGAACAATTAAACACTTCCTGAGAAGGTACATTAGTCAAAGTTCTCAGGCCCCAGCCTGTGTCCTGAATCTACGAGCCTTTTCCTTTGGCCATTTTAAAACTGCCCTGGAAGGTCAAGGGTGAACTACTAAGTATTTTCCTCTAACACTTCTTTTTTCTTCTTTAAAATGGCAATTGAGAGAGAACAGCTGGAAATGCCATTTTATCACCTTTCCTTCCCACTTATTCTGAACTTAGGATCTCGAAGTGAGAGCCATCTGGAAGAGAGGTCAAAACAAGCAAAGGTGATGAAACCGGCACTCAGCTCTTCAAGAGACCAGAGACGACTGAGACTGAATTCCAGGGCATAGAAAATGAAAGGATTCCCAGAGTTCAAGTCCAAGCTAGCAGTGTATCCATCAAGCCTCCAAGATAAAGAACATTTAAATTATTCCTGAAACACAGACATCTATTCTTTATTTTAAACAATTTCAGTGGATCAGGGTTGATTTGGAAAGCTGGTGGAAGCAATGTTCACTGTACATAGGAAATAAAACAATTCTGAGAATTAGAGCCTGTCCTACCTTTCTGATAAGATCTGAGAGTTCCATTTCAGCTTTCTGCTGTGCCAAGTCAGATTTCACTTCAGAATAAGTATCATTGATGATGGCCAAGAACATATTCTGTTTGTAAATCAAAGGAGGGTAAAAATTAAAGGAAGAAAGTGATGAATATTTTGCAAGCACCAACCAAAAAAAAAGATCAACACAGCATGCCTTTCCGTTCACCTTTCTTTTTCCAATATGAGTGCCTTATGAAGTCATAAATTAATAGTTTTGGTACCAAATTCTTTGGGAAAATTATTTTCTCCATTAAGTTATGCCACAGGAAAATATAATATATATTCTTACTTATAAAATAATATGTTGTGATATACTTTGCAAAAAGAGGCAAGAATGAAATACAACAAAGTATTAATATATTCATCCATAAATAGTGGGATTATTTTATTACTATTATTCTTGAGTCTGTGTCTCAGTCTACTGTCCAGTCTGGAGTGCAGTGTCATGCTCATGGCTACTGTAGCCTTGATCTCCTGGGCTCAGGTGATCCTTCTCAGCCTCCCAAGTAGCTGGAAACACAGGCACAAGTCACCATGTCCAGCCAGTTTTTTTTTATTTATGGTAAGGTCTAGGTCTTGCCAAGTTGTCCAGGTTGGTCTCGAACCCCAGGGCTCAGGCAATCTTCTTGTCTCCATCTCTCATAATGCTGGGATTATAAGCATGAGCCACGGTGGTTGGCCTGGGTCATTTTTTATAATTTTTGCTTATCTATGTCCTCTACATCTTAAAATTTTTGCATGGATTACTATGGGTACAGAACCCTAAAAAGTATTTCAGATTGCAGCACTCAACACAGACAAGCAGAATTCTATGCTTATTCCAAGTTTTTTTTCATATCACAGGTGAGATAGATCATATCTTAAAGAGTTCAAAAAGATCTTTGCAAACAGGAATATAGTAGGTCTAGTAGGGAGATAGTAAAGAAAAGCTTTCTAGAAGAGATGTAGGTTTGGAGTCAGGCAAATTTCGATTTCAGTGTTGGCACTGCTAAGATGAGGTTAACTTTTCTATGTCTAATTTTTTTTTTTTTTGAGTTGGAGTCTCACTCGGTTGCTCAGACTGGAGTGCAGTGGCCGCTCCCGGTCACTGCAACCT